CGTGTGACGACAAGGTATTCTGCATCTGTTGTAAAATGGTAGGCTCAGGCACCACTGCAATGCGTAGGTAGCAGTGTTATGCCACTGAACAAGGGCGGGCTTGGGCTGACGGGATAGTATGACGAAAGGTAGGAGTCGCGCTGTCTGCAGGCGATGATAATGCCAGGGCGGCGCCACAGCAAGTGCTCATCTCTGTTGAGGCAGTCATTCCGTCTGTTTCGTCCACGATATTCTGCATTTCAGCTTCGAATCAACCCGGCCAGCAACGTTAGTGGGGCCACACGAAAGTTTGGAGACTTCGTCAGTTGCGAAATTACCTTTAATGTCTTTGATTCTTCATGATAGCAGACGACGTGCTGGGTTAGTGCACGGTCTGGGTCAGGCTCAGATCGTCTGTGAGTCATGCAAGCAGTGTTATAGCTTAGCTTTTTTTTCGTGCAGGCTCTGGGACTACGGAGACCGGGGACTTTGAGGCGCACACATGAAGGGACACACCGGACTCGCGTGCAAGGGACCTTGTGCGTTCGATCACTCACGGGGGGGCAAGTGTGCCTCGTTCTCCTGCTCCCGGACATGGAGCAGTCAGCTGTGGATTTCAGGCAGTAGTACGATGCGTGTTGAAGACATTGCCACGGTGAGCACCTGCGTGACTTCTGGACCTCCCCCACCTACCCCCTAGCCAATACTCACCCCCACCAGCACCGAACCCCCTCCCCGCACCACACCAACCCTGTCCCGGCACCACGCACGAACACCACCACCCCAACCACAATCACCATTGCACTTGCTGCCGCCACCAGAAATCATTATCGATTAAACTCTATTGTTTGTTAAAGATTTTTGTGATTTGTAGACGAACTTTTTTTTGCTAAGGATTTTTGTGATTCGTCGCTCGAACTCTGCTGTTTGCTTCAGGAATATCTACAATCTAAGATTTCAGAGATTATCTTGGGATCTTGGGGGGGGGGAGGTGTTCTGTTGCCAGAAACATTGTGAATAGTTACGGCACCACCAGTCTAAAATGTCATCACTTAGAAGTGAAGCCAAAGTTATGACGTTATGATGTTTATAATGGTCGTAACTATTCACAATGTCTCCTATTAACAAAGGAAACCGACAAAGACGTTGCTCGACGTGTCCCTTGACTCCTGACAGCCCCACGATTCATCAGTAAAACCCTAAAGAAACTCATCAGTAAAAACTAGTAGATCTAGTATTGGGAATATTTGCAGTGCGGGGTGGTGTGACGCGTCAATATATTCGCTGCGCGTGACGTCACAGGTCATGACCACAACGTGTCGTCGGTGCAGTTCATGCCTAGCCCCGACCTTTCATCAGTATTGT